GTAAAAACGTTCTTTTCCGGCGCCTCTCATTTGGGCTGGCAGCGGGGCCGCGGTTGTCGAGCGAGACGAGGGTACTGGGGAGGGGGCGGGTGACTACGACGATGCGACCCTCGTCAGCCCGGCGCAGCAGAGTGCATTCCGCGTGGTGATGCTGATGGCGGTTGTGGTGCTGCTGATAGTGGCGCGGCAGTTCGATTCCCCGGGGTCGCTGTGTGAGGAGGACTGGGGAGGGGGGGGGGGGTGAGTGATGGTCTTACCGAGTTGATATCCGCCCCTCCTGGGGGGGGGCAGCAGTGAAGTGCTTGGGGTAGGAATAGGTTCCCGACGTACCTGCGCACGGTCTCCATGTCCGAGAAGTGCAGGTGGCCGTTGCCCGAGAAGCCCGCCGACAGCCGGTGCTCGAGCAGCTGCGGGTCGTGCTCCGCGGCGGGCGCCTCGGACGGCAGCGCGTCGCCGGCCGCGGGAACCAGGTCGTTGGAGGCGGCGCCGGACGCGGAGCAGGACGCGCCCTCGCCGGCCGGGCACAGGCAGGTGAAGTAGTCGTGCTGGGGGACGCAGCGGCCCCGCGGGGCGCACGGCCGCGCCGCGCACGGGTGCGGGCAGTTGTCCACGTTGACGCCGGCCAGGGCGCTCTCCAGCAGGTGCAGCGGCTGCTCGTTCACCATCACCTGCGGACGATACATAGCACACCGCCAGGGCGCGTGAGTGACCTGCTTAATGGGCGACTGACCGAGAAGGAACTTCACTAAAAAAAAAAATAATCAGTGCAGCTTACGCTGAAAATCAGAAAAGAAAACAGAATATCAAGGAAAATTGATTAAAAACAAAGAAAAAACAACAACAAATGAAACCGAATTAGTTCGTACACCTCCCCCGTCAATTTTAGCCCAAATTAATTTTTTTTTCCCATTTTTCGCTTGCCAAAAGTACCCTAGAAATTGACACTCAGGAAAAAATTCTACCGCCAGTCGTCATCAACATAGATAAGAAACATAAATATACCGAGTTTGGCTAAGATCGGGAATTTACACTTGCATAAGGTCCCCTTGTAAGGAACAGCTCCGACCTGGCGACGGGCACGACGGCTGAGACGAAGAAGAGGAGATCACGGTACGTCACGGTACGTACTCGACGAAGGGGAGAGGAATTCGCCTTCCCGACTCAGGCGGAGCTTGTTGATGCCGTGGAGATGCTGAGGCGAGCCCCTCCACCCAGAAAAGGAAGAGGGGATGCCGAATACCGCTCCGCCGGCCCCGTGGCATCGTGCGCGCGAGCCGCCGGTGTGCATTCCAACTCCCATACCTCCTTCCGTCCGGGAGCCTCCTCGGCCGGCCTCGGCCCCTGCACAGCGGGGGGTAGGCAACCCGCACACAGGGCTGCGCTGCCGTTGCCTAACCACGAGGCGCTCACGGTGGCTAGCTGTGCAAAAGCGCAACCTCGCCCGAAACTAAATAATCTCAATCTTTTCAGAAAACCCGTCTCTCCCTCTCCCAAACAAGCGCTCTCGCTCTCCCGCCGGTCTAACTTCTTATCGCCCCCACCCCCACACCCTTAAAGCTTTATCGGAAGCTTTTGAAAGTCTTCACGAAAACCGAACAATAGATAGAATGGGGGTTTGAAACCATAGCTATTCGCCCTCTTACTAACGGTATACTTGTATGTATACCCCCTCCACAGATCATTGGCGGAGGCGTCCTTAACTTAACTTGTACAAACTTAACGAGCGGCCATACTTTTCCCAGATTCACTCCATACGAGTACCTCTGTATCGCCTTTACAAGGGTAAGCGCGTCGTTGCAAAACAAATCGTTTTAAATTGGGAAGTTTTTCCAGTACTTGGTGTCATTAGATTGAGAGATAGGTTTACAACTGTCTAAATCTAAAAAAAATACAATTAATTTCATCAAAATTCCCCAATAAATTTAACGACGAAACTTGTAAGGTTTTGCCTTTCTCTAGGAGTATAATATCTTGTAAAGTGGGGGGGACCCCTCACCTCTCGCTATCTCTGCCTGCTATCTCCCCCCCCCCCCCCCCCTCGGCGGACACAGGATTATTGTCCGCCAAACGCACCTCACGTTCAGGGCGGGGCGGCGGAGGCAGCGCACGCCTCACGGTAAAATTAGGGTCGAAAAGGGACGGAAAGAGGAAGAGGAGAATGAGCGGGGGGATTACATGAAGGGATGGGGCCGAGTCTCGGGGGTCTGCCCGCTTGCAGCTGGCAGCGGGCTTGAGCGGAAGGTCACCCCTTGTCGCCGCTCTACTCACTCTGCATCTCGCACAGAGCGTCTGCCCTACATCTGATCCGCAACTCTTCATCCCTCAATCCGTCGTCCCGTGACCTCGATTTGCCATCCATTCGATCTGCCAACTATTCCGAGATATCGTGTGCATCACGGTTCTACCCTACATTACTCGAATTACCCTTGCAGTAGGCCTGGATTACCTCGGACAACCCCGCAGATCACCCCAAAGACTACCCCCGGACTAACCTGGGATCGTCCGAAAGATTTCCCACCCGATTTACTCTCGTATTATCCCCGCACTAACACACAGGCCGAGGAATTTTATTTTTCCAGAAAGGTACTCTTGGGGAATTTTTCAGGAATTGTTTTTACTAAATATTTCTGATTTCTTTTTACTTAAAAGTTTTAGGTTTTACACATTTTTTCTGAAAATATTATCCTTTTTATTATAATTTTGAAAAGTATATAATTTTCCGGAAAACTTTCAGACTTTAACATCCGTGTGTGGCGGCAGGCCTAGGGCTGGTAGTCCTGCAAAGTTTCCGGAAAAATGAGGAAAATTTCCCAGACCCCAGAAGATTTTCGGAAATTTTCCGGAAATTTCCAATCTCAGGAAGGCCCTTGACTTGCATCCACGGCTGCCGATCCAGAGATGCCCCCCTCACCTTTTGGATGCAGCCCACGAAGGAGGTCCTGGCCCGGAGCCTGGGCGCCACGGAGTGTAGGGCGGGCACGCCGCCCAGGTACAGGCTGAGCGGCAGCGACAGCTGCAGGAAGGCGCCGGGCGCCATGGCCTCGTCGGGGGCGTGCGCGTCCAGCTGCAGCACGGCCAGCCGGCCCGTGCGGGACACGCGGACCTCGTGCCACTCGCCCAGCGACAGCGGAAGCGAACTCCTGAAAACAAGGGTTTACTGCGTTGTGCATTCAGAAAATTATAAACAGTGGCTTAAAAGCAGGTCTCCGCCTCTTGTAGGTATGACAGGTGGGCCAGGCGGTTTCCCATAGGCTTTGGCTGGTAGTACCGGAAGTACCGGAAGCTGAAGGCCGTTAAAAACGGCGCTTCCGGATTTATCTATACTTCCGGCCCCACGATTTCGCGGTCGCATGTACACCTATATTTTTGGCTTTTTATGTTTAGTCTGCAAAAGGGAGAGACAGTGCGCCTAGAAAGATAGAGTAGGCGCCACTTTTCCGGTTCCGGTGGAGATGGGGCAAGGCCCTAAACTGGCAACAGAGAATCTCGGAAGTTAAAAACAGCAAGCGCTCTGCTTGGTTCTGTTGGACGGTTTCTCTCCACTGCGCGACCCGCTATTGAATTGACTTCAGCGGATGGACGAGAAAGATGAGGAGAAAAGGGGGGAGGGCGGGGATGAGATAACCTTGTTTGGGTTGTGGGGACGCGATTCTACCCCCTGCAGCTCTT